GTGAGAATTGTGCATGCATCAAGTATGAAAGAAACTCTTCAAGATCACACTCATAAATATCCTAAAGCAGTGACTGAAACAAAGGACTTTGATCACCGTTTGAAATTACCATATGCTCCAGTATCTTCACTGCTCAGCCATATTTCTCTGACTCCATCAGCTATGACAGATCTTACTCGCCCTACCTATAGTAGAGAAAGTCCAAACATATAAAAGCAAACTCAAATGGCACAATACATTGTAGCTTCTTCTAAATTTCAGTACTTACAAGGCCATCAATTGAGTAACTCCCCAGGTGACCCCGAGCATGTTTTGTCTTGCAATAAGTGCAAGCACCTAAACAACCAACATTAATAGGAAGAATCTCAACAAACTTGTTCTTCCTCACCTGTTGCCAAAAGTAAAGCATATATTCTTTCCCCAGATAAGAAGAAAAACTCCATTGTTATGTGTGTACATAAAACAACTTCCAAACCACAAGAAAGTGTAAACTGTTGGAGCAGGGAAGAAAATGGACAGCAATCATGCATGCAGTTCACTCACCTTGGGAAGGTCAAGTGCTGGCAATGTCTTGCGGGTCAAAAGCCTCACCTCGTGACCCTTAAGAGTCTCCTCCACAACTTCAACCACACGATCAATTTGCTGGACACCAACTATGCTGATCCCTTCTAGCTCTTTCAAACCTCGGCTTCCTTGTGGAACACAACCAGCTACTACTAGAGGTTTATTTGAACTTTTCCCCTTTGCTATTATGGTATCCATTGCAGATTGGCTCGGAGATTTTACAGTGCACCTGCATCCTATGTGCATTATTGTCTTTCTATGTATGTGTTTATATATATGTTCTACTAGATAAAACATTCATTTATCATTATTTTCATCCGCATCAGCTGATGGTCCTAGGATGTTGGACCTCCTACCATGCTCAAGAATCACACCACAGAATGGAAGACCGTTCAATTCATAGCACAGTGCACGCTAAAGGCTATTAATGAATTTATTAATTAATCTACCACTTACCTTGAGGTTAAATTAAGAAACTTTGGAATAGCAATAAGGGAAGTATCAAACATAAGCCATGAACTAATATAAGATTTAGTTTTACAATTTACTTCATCAATATAATGCATGCTCTAAAACTAAAGAATATTAACACAGAATGACAAAGCTAAGAGCCTTACGTATTTATCAGCCATAGGTCTGCTTCCTCAGGATTGTCACTCAAGGTATAACCAAAAGATGAAAGCTGACCAGCCATATATTCACTGTCACTCTGTTAAAACAATAACTGAAAATTAATGATTGAGAACAATTAAATGCAGGGTGCAATACTCACCCTCAGAAGTTCACACAATAAAGAAAATGTTTCTCGAGAAGCATAATCAGGTCCTAAATCAGAGTTGAATTTATGGTAGGAAGGTGTGGGTGTGGGTGTGTGTGGGGGGTTTTAATATACATGGGACAGGCTATGCACTCTTCATTTTTAATGTTATCCAGCAAACACTTCTAGTCTAGCTCAATAAACCTACAGCTCTATCAAGAACGAAGGATTAATAAATTAAAAATTGATAGTACAATGAACTCCACAATATTTTGCATGGTTCAATCAGAAATGAAATTTCCTTTTTCACCATGTTGAAGAAATAAAAACTGTTCAATTGAAATTAAGACTCATTCAGTGACCTTAAAATTCCCCATTTGCATGATTTTTTTTTTTTTAAATAAGAAGTTAAGTCACTTTTTTCTGACTATGCTTATCTGCTCAGAAATTTTCCTAACTAAAGGCATAGAATATGTGATTATAAATTTGAAGTTAAGATCAATTAAAAAAGGGAGAAATGAAAATACCCCTGTTCAACTTTGAACCATCTGCAAGTACCCCCTCAACTTTGAAAACCAGAACACACCCCATGATTATCGATCTACAACCTTTTTAAGTATAACATTATGAATCTTAATTTCTAGTTACTTAGCTTTTACAATCAATGAAGCTAAATGCCAATTCTCACACTGACTTGTTAAGGATTCTGCCATCTACAACCCTTATTATTAGCTTATATAAAATATCAGTTCGATAATTTCTCTGATAACTTTCAAATCCCAAACTAAACTTTGGAATCTCAATACTATGGATGACAAGGAACGTGATGTGACATTGTATCAAACAACTCCTAAGTAAACAATGACAGAAATGACCAGAAATGCACTTCAATGTTCAAGATAATTAAATTTAGGCGTCATTACTATGCTCATTTGTCTTCATTGACATCAATCTACTCGTCTCGTTGAAAGCTTATCAAATTACTATCCCTTTAAAACTTGCAGTTTAAAAGCTAAAAATTTCACATACGGGTGTACAAAATATTCATAACTAAACTGTCCACATGATCACCCTCACCCATTCATACACAACAACAAGAAGCCTACAATAGATGGGCCTAGATAGTACGACGACATTGTACTCTATTATCACCCTCACCCATTACAACAACAAGAAGCCTACAATAGAAGGGCCTAGATAGTGCGACGACATTGTACTCTATTATCACCCTCACCCATAAATATGAACTTAGAAAGTGTAAACTCCAGAAACCACATACAACTATCCTCAAGAGCATTGAAAACTTTGCAGTAAACCAACATAAATTAATTCATTCGCAGTGAAGTAGTTAGCCGATAGACTTAAGGTCTGCTAAAAAAAAAAAAAAGATATTAAAAGAATCATGCAAATTGATTATCACCTGGTTATGGGAGCATCCGAAGGTCTTCATAAATATGGTCTGCATCATCAACACAGACAAACTTAGTCAAGAACTTTCAAGAAGGAGAAAGAAGAGAGATTGAATGAGAATGGACCTGAGAGCCGGGGATTTTTGGGGAGAAAGAGCTAGCAGAAGCAGAGTCATGGATTTGAGAAAGCTTGTGACTGAGATTACCCTTGTTCCTATGCCTCTTTGGGTTCACTCCCACGGTTGTTATCGGCAAGCGAAAACCCGGCGGAGATCCGGTACCGCTTCCAACCAGCAGATCCTCTATGTCTTCCATACCTTACGGAGCGCCAACTTTGCCCAAACCACCACAACCTAAAGACAAGACACAGAAGCTACAGTGATTTCTTGGAGCTCAATAGACCAACCGGCGGATTAATACGCTTTATTAACCAGGATTAAAGTAAATGGAGAATGAAAATATGAATGAATTTATCCGCACAAGGTGGAGCCACAATTTTTTTTTTTTTAGAGTTTTTAACATGGTGCACAAAATCGAAAAGCAAAAGTTTATCGACATTAACTTTAAAGTTAATTTAGCGATTAATTGATTAATGCAAAATATAACAAATAAAATATATTGAATTTAATATTAAGTATCCATATTATACTCTAATGTTTAAGGTTATTTGATTACAAGGAAAACATAACTTTTGGTATAAATAACAATTTAATTTCTTGAAATGTTATAATTTTACTAAAGTCTTTAAAAACTTTTGTATTAATAAATTTTAAGTTGAATTAAAAATTTCAGTATTAATAAATTTTAAGTTAAAAAAATTATTTTATCTTTATTGACAGTTGTAATTTCTTATTTAATTCTTATTATTCATTAAATAAAAGTTATTATTTTTTAAATAAAAGTTGTGATTGGGATTTGTTATTTTGAAAACTTATTTTTAAATAACAAAAATCACGCTTAACAAATTATGATTTCTTGTTCAACTCTTACAATTTATAAAATAAAAGTTGTTATTTTTTAAACAGAAGTTATGATTAGGTTTGTTTTTTCAATAGCAGAAATTATACTTGATAAGTTGTTATTTCTTATTCAATTCTTACAATTTATTAAACAAAAATTATTATTCCTTAAGTAATAGTTGTTATTAAGGTTTGTTATTTTCAATAAAGATAAAATGGTCTTTTCACTTTAAAATTTGTTGACATAAAAATTTTCAGAGACTTTAGTAGAATTATAACATTTTAAAATATTAGATTATTTTTTATATAATTTGAGAGAATTTTATTGTTATTTTCCCTTTTTTTAATGTATAATGTTTAACTAAATTTATGTAATAATGAGGAAAAAATTATCAAATTAATTTGATAAAATTTACCTTGAAAAAAAAAAGATTAAGAAAGGGGAGGAGGGGGAGTAATTTTTTTTTTTTTGGTAAGTACAAGGAATCAAATCATTCATAGCAAAAATTATGAGAAAATATAACTTTAAATCCCTACACTTTTTTTATATTTTAGATATCTACACTTTTATATTTTAGGTTTTATAATATCGCTCATGAAAGGATTTAGAATATCAAAAAAATAAAAGTGTCAAGACTTAAAACACAAAAAAAAAATACGGGCACATATAACAAAATTTGAATAAAGTATAAAGACTTAAAATTTTGTTTTTCTAAAAATCATCTTCTTTTGCATATCACAAGGTCCAAAGTTTAAAATAAGTTGATTCAACCCTGCCATTTCAATAACACTTCACAACTTGTCTATGAGAATTACATTTCACGTTTTTATATCATACATATAACAACAAAAGTTCATGGATATGGTACATGCATTGAGGAACTTCATCGTACGAAGCATCTACTCACTTTATTCTTAAACGTATATTTTAGAAAAATCATATCTTATAAACCTAAGTTCCCTTTCTCTATGCTTGGGGAACTAAATTCTGCCATCAAATATTTGACGCGGTTCAACGTGAAGTAGAACATAACATGTTTTAATGCCCAAAAAATCGAGAGCGAAAACTAATGACTTGTTTAATTTTGTTCTCCAAAAACATTTTTTTAAAAAAATTGTTTGAGTAAGAGTTTTAAATTTAAATATTTTTACAATGATTAAAAATAATGACAACATCTTAATCTTAGAACTGTTTTTATTTCATTTCATTTTTTTTTAATTTTTAAAGAGCTCAGCTATGATTAATTGATATTACAAGTCACTGTCATTAAGACCACTACCACTGTTGAACGATTTTGTTAACTCGAACTGTTTTCAAATAAAATAATCAAACAGCTTTTTTTTTGATTTGTTTTAAACAAGAATTTTAAAAAATTACATTACAAAATAATATTTCAAAGCAAAAAATGGACAGGCCCAATATAGCCATATAATATACAATTTTGCTGTTTAGTTTCCACAAAAGCACACCAAATCTATATATAAATATAATAGAGCTCATTTCTTAAACTCCTTGTCATGCATGACATCCTCACTAGATTAAGCATAAACCCTAAAGTAAAATCCTTCCAAAATTTGGCTGCACTAAGCAGGAACAGCTTCCCCTTTCAAATGGCTGCGCCTGCTCTCGATGAATGTTTGTCGAAATTGTTCAAAGCTTCCTTCTTTGATTGTTTCCCTTATTAGACGAAAGAACATCAAATAGTGATGTGTATTGTGGCTGCAAAATTCAATATAAAATTTTATTAACTCCATTATAACCAGGAACACCATTTCACTATATATATATATATGTTACAGACTTATAGTAATACTGTTAATGTTAATAATATTACTATTTGAGCAAAGGTATTCATACATTTCTAGTAGGATTTGTGCCAGCATTTCGTGAACATTGAGTAGGTGATTGACGTATGCTTTTGTATGGTTCTGGCATGTATAGCAGCTGCAATTTCCAAGAATGGGAGACAAGTCTTTCCTGCATGGGGGGAGAAGAAATAAAGATAAATAAGACAAAAATATTTAAGCCTGTAAGGTTGGTTCAAGGGAAAACGACTCCCATTTCTACACTTACAAAATGATATGTATTGTATTTATTTTACCCCCGAAATTTTCCATTACTTTTTCTTTATTCAGAAACATGAAGGACATTTCTTACTTAAAAAAAAAAAAAACTTTTTTCATTGAATTTCGTTTTCCATTTTACATACTAGGCAGGCTCATTCATTTTGTACAGAAAGATACAATCATAAAGAGCATTGAATGACTTCATGGACAAAAAAGAGAAGGGACCTTCCAAGAATAATTATATCAAATTCAGAATAAGGAAAAAATACATATCATAAACTTTAGAGTAGTAGTCTATCATGACAACGACGTTTACACCACTTAAAATAAGTTTAGAGTTCCAATAGCTATAATTATGAGTTAATAAAACAAGGCAGCTTAGGAGTTTAGGGGGGAAAACTGTTTTCATATAGACTAGAGCTTGTACAAACAAAACACCATCGTAAAGTACCACAAGAGTCAAAATTCAGGAATTTGGGATCATTATTACAGAATGACAGCGAAATTGATGAAAATATTAAATGTTTATGCATTGGATACAAGTTAGGCGGTTGAAATGAACAAGAATAACCCAATATTATGCATTGACCTCAAGTTTAGTGCAACTTTACATTACCTACTGAACAAAATTTCAGCCCACTGCTATACTAAAACGTAAAAAAATAAAACACAAAATGTGAACAACTCAACATGTTACCTATAAACAGTCGCTCTCAAATTAATTTTGGTCGAGTCACTTCCTATTTGACTCCGCTGCAGATTATATTGAATCCCGTTTTTGTCCAGTGGAAAGGTAAGTGCAAATCCTCCAAGCGTGAGGGTATATATGTACCTGCAAATCATCTCATTAACCTTTCAAATTTCATGATGTACCATAATACTGTAGAGAACAGGTTGTTGAGAGTAAACACTCCCTCCGGCCTCAAGCATAGGTCACCAATAACTACCTCATCAAGTTTAAGAAAAATAGATAAAAAAGTTAGATTCATTACATTTGTCTCAACTTAAAAAATTTTCCAAAAATAACCCCAGTTAAATATGTCCTCTCTCTACCTCTTGTTCTTGGTAAGAAAACTTGACTATGTACTTAATGGGGGGCATTTGGGGAATAAGTTGATTAATTCTCCAAACATTTAGATAAGTGCCCTATATTTTGAACCCATCCAATCCTCTCTCAGATGCCCCATATTTGAATCCAGATGGAGTATAAACTACAAACTAGGAGAAGCAACTTACGTTGAGTCAAAAAAATCAATTCCGGCCGCCACTCCTTGCAAGACCTCCTCTGTAAAGTTAAAATTGATGTTTTCAATTCATTACGGCTTAATTAAGAAAGAACAAATTTGTAAGGACTTTAAACTTTTTAATAAAAAATTAAAAGATCAAAGATTATTTATATGGACAAGAAAAGGATGAATAAAATGGTAATCATGACTACTTCACTAACCCAATCTTAAAACCATGTCTCCCTAATCATGCCACTTAAAGTGCCAAATCCAGTCGGTAGTTAGTAGCACCAACTACATATGACATTTTGCATAAAAGATTGATGCCATTGAACCAAAAAAATTAGCTATATTAAATAAGGTACCTGGAAATCCAAGCCCACAGACCATCCGTGGCTTATTATCTGGCAAAATATCCTGAGAATAAGGTCATCATCTCATGTTTCATAATATTTAAATAAATAATCAATTTTCTACCACTATGTACAAGTATAAAACTTGCCTGTGTTTCAACAGGCCCCCAAAAAAATAAAAAAAATAAAGTTTTTTTGTGCTTGTGCGTGTGTAAAGTTTTGTTTGAGAGAATAAAAGACCTTTAATATCTCAAAAGTGTTTCTAGAGCCAGAGCTGCGGTCACTTCTTTTGATTTCATTTGTTCTGAAACAAAGCCTAATAGCTCAAAGTCAAAGCACATCTATAACTAAATGATGGTGTTAACTGATGAAAGAAAAGTTGGAAACAACAAATGAAACGGCATCACAGAACAGAGAAAACACTATAAAGATGATGTGCTGACCCAGAGATGGCTTTAACTTATCACCAGTAATTACTAGCATTCACATACCTAACAAATACAGCGATTACCAATGGAGGTCAGTTCATGATCCTTAAGGAAAAGAAAGACAAGATTCTTGTTAAATTTAGCTTCCAATCCTAGCATACTCAAGTCAGCATTTCCAAGGCACCAGCATAATCCGAGTGTCTCCACTTGCTAAGAAATGGATACAATGATCCTTAAGGATTCAATGACTCAAATAATCCGAAGGCTTGACTTATCACCAGTAATTATCAGTATTCACATGCTCAATGGATACAACGATTCCCAATGGAGTCAGTTCATGTTCCTCCCAAAATGTGTGACCCCACGTATAAAAACTTGTTAGCTTAAAACAACCTTGTAATGTCATGGTTGTTTAATTACATGAGTACTGATCATGGAAAGCTTTACATGTGTTTTAAGTCTCCCATTATATATAAATATGGGAACTGTTGGTGAATCTTACTTCACCTGCAACAGTGCTCCTGAGGGAGAATTCTTGCAAGAACCTCTCTCCTTCACTCAGATTTTCTCATAAGTCAAGTGTAAGGTGGCTAAAAAAAAAAGCTGATGCTAACAACTCTGATTTCAGGTTCTGATGAATCATCTGCACCTGTAGCTTGACGAACCAATTTTTTGGGAGTTGATAGCAGCTAAAGAACAGGCCTATTATGGAAGATATCCAGCTGGAAACTATGAGGAAGACAGTTAAACAACCCAAATGAACACATACTCCAAATGTATGCCCATCCCGATTGGCATGTAAATGAGCAAACTTTATTCAAAAAATGACAAAAAGACAGATCAAAATATAAAAGGCAACCAAAATATTTTAAACTCGACATGTTGCAAACATTATACATGGCATGAGAAGTGCTAGCTCAAGAAATTATGTGAGAAAATATCGCCATAAAAGGCACCTGCCAGTTTATCTCCAAAGCTAATCAAAATATTATCATTTGTGCCCAGCTAAATGAAGTAAAGCGCAGCTGAACCTTTATGTATCCTATATATCTTTGTCCAACCTGCTAGTATCTCATATTGGCATCAATGGTATCCACTCCAAACAGAAGTTAAAATACTTATACAACGTTATCCTTTAGCTTGGTGCCCCTCAATGCACCAATTGAACTAGTATAGGTAAGGCTTTAAGCTCCCAGATCAGAATACATAGTGTCTCACCATGATAGTAGTAAGAAGAGGAGGTCGTTCATCAATGCCCTCTCCAAGCCCAAAGCCCCCAATCCAATAACCTGCACAAATATTGCAGCACCATTTTACTGTTGCCCGTGACAATAGTAGATAAATTTTTGAAAATTGAAATGTTTGATTATGACTCAAGAAATTGTCCACCTCAACAGTAAGATAAGAAACAGTCAGTATAGAAAATGCGGAGGTAGTATAAGTAATTAAGTACTACTTCACATTTCCAGCTTGTTACCACGGCTGTATTTAGTTAAGGTTGGGAGACAATTAAAGGAAAATGGTTTATGTAACTAGCGTTACAAGGAAATAAAGATATTCAGTTGCGCACTCATATAAAACTTTTTCTTGCACTCCAGACAGAAACGCATGCCAAAAGATGAAAAGATTAGTTAAAAAGGGCCAATATTAATATAGGAAAAATGTATTAGTTTACTAAACTTTCACTGATCACTATTCTTAACTGAGAAAGTACAAGTCTCTAAACAGAACACTTAATAGGAACATATCAGAGGACTAGTGGTGCCTCAGTGCCTCTGTTCACTCTTCTGAGAAAGAATGAAAGACAAAAAGACAAAAACAAAAAAAAAAAAAGAAAGAAGCAGAAATTTAGACTGACAAGTCAGAGTAGACCAATTTGTCCTAAATTCAAAGTATGGGCTGCATCTACCATAATCTAGGCTATCAAGGGATCACTGGCATGTAATAATTACTAAGAAGAAAGTCTTTGCATAATTTTTCACTACCCAAGAAACTCAAGCAGTAAACAGATATAAATGGTGTAAAATATTTATCCAATAATTACTTAATGGTAAGTTCCAACATATTTGTATAATTTTTCACTACCTATGAACCTGAAGTGGTAAATAATATAAATATTGTAAACTATTCATTTAGACAGATGTCTTTTCAAGAAAAGAAAAATAAAAGAACCTGATACATTTCGCCTGGCTACCTCCTCTGCACAACGCTTCCGTTCTTCCAAACATGAACCTCCAACAATGGCGCCAAAGGCACATCCACCTGCCTGAATTTTGAAAGACAAATGCATGTCCAGTTTAATCAAGTCTATCATATCGATGCCATAGTTCTTAGTCACAAAGTGAATAAATTAAAATAAACAAATTTATTGATGACCGATGTCAAAACATAGCCAACTAGATAACACTAAGAAACCCATGCTTTAGGCTGGGAGGTTTAATGATAAGCCTCAAGTCAACCATTGAAGAATGCCTTGCAAAAAAAATTTTTTCCTTCCCTCTTATGACGAAAAGTGACAAATAGTGTGGCTATTCATAAGCCATAAATAGTGTGGCTCATTTCTCAAACTCCACATAACACGTGGGACCCAAACTAGTTTAACCGAAAAAGAGATGGAGAACATGGGTTTGTAGTGGGTGTTTGAGTAAGGAGCTGTCCATCTCCTTAGAAGATTTGAAATCTCAATAATGCGGTCCCAGATTTGAAGGGTTGACCTTCAGATTCACCAAATAGGTCACAAACTAGAAAACAACCAGACAATGGGATTCTTAATTTATCCTTCACAAATTGCAGAATAAGACAACTATTAATTTATTATAGGCCTTCGAGGATTCTAGAAAAACTTAGACTCCAAGAGATATTATATGACCAAAGAGTGAATTTGAGAACACATATTTTCTTGCTTCGATCATGTGATTAGCTGAACTGAGAGAGTAGGAAATCCACTTACTTATTCAACATTCATACGCCCAATTATATAAAAGAATAATTTCACCCTGAAATTTCTTGTCTATTTCAAAAACGTAAAAGCAATATATAGAGAAAGTAGACCACATAATTTCAGGCAACCAAATCTCCACGTGAAAGTAAGAAAAGACTACAGAAATTCAGCCAACTATCCCCAACATAAAAGGAAATAAACATGCCACATAAATGAAAATTAAAGCCTCATAAACAATAATCAGATAAGGAATCAAAGGCATTTGAATTCAGCCTATTAATAGCAAATATCCCACATGACTCTTCCCAAGAATAATGAACTGATAGTCTGGAAAAAAAAAAAAAATCCTTCAATCCAACTTGAACCAAACAATCATAATAAATTATCAAGAACTTCATTCCAATCTAACAGAGGAAAGAATAACAATATAACATGTAACCCCGCACTTTCCTTTTTTTTGACCAAATAACCATGCATTTTTCCTTTACCGGATTCAATGCAAGGCAGTCATCAAGCCATCTGACAGTTCGATCTACTGAGGTTTTGTTCCTTTTATCTGATACCCAAGCAGGTACTTCATCAGCCAAAGCAACCCACATGTTTGGCCTCATATGTGAAATCATCTCCATATAATCTTTGGGTTTAATCTGTCAAAATTAATAGCAACCATCACATTCACCATTATTTAAGACATAAACAAAGAACTAATCAATTCATCCAGCAAGTATATATTGATTTTACCAAGAGACGGCCACAAGGAGTCTCAAAAGATGCTCCAAGTTTGGTACTTCCAATAGCCTCAGGAAGACTAGTAATAGAATCTCTAACTACAGCTGCAATTGCATATTCATGCAAACTGAGCATTCGATGGAGGCCCCCAATTTTTGATATAGTTTTTGTGGGAAGTCCTTCCAAACTGCAAAAGCATACCTGGGATAGGTTACTAAACTCAAATTAATGATATATTATCGCAATCTCTAACTTTTCTGTACATGAATGAAATTTCCTGAGCACCATTTTTCTCTCGTTTGCAGTTTGCACTCATAGCTTGGTGGGTCTAAAACTTATTAGTGATGCCTTACCTTACACCACTGTTCTAAAAAGAAAAGCATGTGCAATCAGACCCAAAGGCCAAAGTACCCATTTTACTATCTTCTTATCTGTTTTTTCACCTTGGCATATATGAAGAAGAAAAGAGACCAGCGTCATTTTATTTTATTTTCATCTTCCGTCATATCATAGTATATATATCTATTAAAAGTTAAGGAAGCATATTACAAGTTTGAGATAATGCAGGAGGTATACTTGTAGTCACATATTCACAGAGAAGAACGAATAAGGTTGGGTGAAGTGCTTACAAGTGAAGAGGAGAAACTTGAAGGAGACGGCAATCAGGGGAAGGGAGAGAAGAGAGATGGTCGGGTGAGATGAAGTGAGGGAGGCCTTTACGAGTAGATAGGAGAAGAGCAGGCGTCTCTATAGGATTCGGACAACTTCCAATCTCCAGTGCTCCGACACGAGCGCCGCCGCTCCAAGCCTTCACGTTGAACTTCATTTCCTTCCCTCTCACCTCACTCCGCTCGGACTCAGGCCCTTTGGTCCGATGAAATGGTTTTTTAATGGAAAAGGGACAACATAACTCTCCCAATTATATAAATCACACTCCCTTAAGATATCATAATTTTATTAAAATTTTTAAAAATTTTTATATAAGTAAATTTTAAAATAAAAATATTATTTTATTCTTATTAAAAATAATAAATTCTAATTATAATTTTTATATAAAAAAATATTTTTTATTTTATAAATTATAAAAATTAAATAAAAAATCACAACTTATTAAATATAAATTTTGGTATTAAAAATAAGTTTTTAAAATAATAAGACTCAATTACAATTTTTTTAAAAAAATAATAATTTTTATTTAAAAAATTATAAAAATTAAATAAAAAATCATAACTTATTAATAAAGATAAAATAATTTTTTTAATTTAAAATTTATTAATATAAAAATTCTTAAAGACTTCAATAAAATTATAATATTTTAAAAAATTAAATTATTATTTATATAATTTAAAAAAATTTATTATTATTTTCTTTTTTATGGTGTGCTTGAATTATTGGTGTGTTAATGAAGATTTAGATTTTCATTTCCTTCCTTCTAACCTCCCTTGGCCGCGGTCTCAGAGCCGTTTGGTCGGGTGAAATGTTTTTTAAAAACGGATTGAATTTGCATGTAAATTTTGAACCAAATCGTTTTTCTTTTCTTTTTTTTTTTCTTTTTTTTTGTTTTGACCACACGTCTGAGTCCCAAAAGTGTTTTTTTGCATTTTAATCTATATTATGTAAGTTCCAATAGTAAGTTTTCCTTCGTTGCTTTCTTTATGATTTATTTTATTAAATGGAGTCTTAGGGTAATTTTTTTAAGTGAATTTAAGATTTAACAAATTAAAAAGATGTTTATTTATAAATTCTAAAGATTCTTCTAGATGGATTTAACATCTATAGTTTTTAAAATTATAAAATCACCTCAAATGTCAAATTAAAAATATCTACAGTATGTCAATAGTCTTGTAGTCAACATATAAGCCTTTTTGTAAATAGAAGGTTGCATGTTCAACCTTGCTTCTAATCTCATCCTCGAATTCAAACAAAGAAAAAAATATTTTTTTCGCATTACGTATCTTATAAGTAGCTTTTTTAAAAATTTTAGAAAAAATATAGCACTGAAAAAAAAAGTATAGAAATTTAGAATAATGAAAAAAATACATGAATCTAAAGTTATATTTTTTCTAAATTTTAATATATTCTTGATGTTGTATTTATTTAATATTCAATATCTAACTGTTAATTTATATTTAATTTTGAGTTTCCCACTAATAATGTCTGTATTTTTTAGCAAAAAATATTTGTTATATTAATGTTGTTATGAAATAAAACAACTAGAAAATAAAAGGTGTTGAAAAAAGAAGTAAAGACAAAAGAAGGAGAGAACTTCTTATAGATTATTATATCTTTCAATACAAGTAACATATCATATTTATAAATATAATATCACACATCAAAAATTACATAAATGACAAAAAGCAAGTAAAGGATAGTCAATTCTCGTGATTGTGAGAGTTTCATAAAAGAAGGTAAAGATGAAGAGGCGAGAAAGATGGATATCCACTCTCTTTTTAATATTCATAACACTCTTCCTTAAATGTCCATTATATAAGAATGTATCTCATTAAAAACTTCAATTAAGAAAAAAACCTGGCAAAAAAAAAGAAAAATACATCATTCATTTATACACTATTCAATGCTGCCTTATTAAAAACCTTACTAGAAAAACCTAATGAAAAAAAAACCTAGATAAGGGAAAATGAGTACAATGCTTGTTAACTCTCCGTCTGGACAACATCAATTGATATCTCTAAATATGTGAAATTCAATATCATGAACAAGCTTTTCAAATATTTTAGCAAAAAGTGATTTAGTGAACAAATCAACTAGATTATTTTAAAAATGAATTTGTTGGATATTAGTTTTTCCATTCTTTTGAAGATTATGAGTGGAAAAAATTGGTGAAAATATGTTTTATTATATCTCCTTTAATATACCTTTCTTTCAATTAGGCAATATAAGCAATATTGTCTTCGTATATGATCGTCGAGATCATTTTGTTAGAAGATAGACCACAAGTGGTTCATATGTGATGAATAATGATTTTAACTACACACATTATTGACTTACTTCATGTATAACTAAACTTTCTATATGATTAGATTATGTGGTTGATATTGTTTGTTTCATAGATCACTATGAAATCACTGTACCACCACATGTGAACAAATAGCTTGTTTGTGATCTACTAACATAAAAATTAAACAAAAATTCAGCATTTGCATAACCAATAAGGTCAACTTTGAGTGGAATAAAATAACCTCAGATCCATAGCACCCCTAAGATAATGAAAAATGTGCTTACTTCCATTCCAATGCCTTCATTTTAGTGAAAAACTGTATCTTGCTAATGAGTTAATAGGAAATGAGATATCAAATCTCATGTGACTAACAAGATACATTAGTGCTTCAATTTTATTAAGATATGGTACTTCTGAATCAAATAATTTTTCATCACCTTTTCAAGGTTTAAATGAATATTTGTCTACATTCAATGATCTTACAACCATTGGGGTACATAATGGATGTGATTTATTTATATAAAATTATTTAAGACCTTTCTTGTATAAGTTTCTTAATATTGAAAAACTCCATTATTCACATATTCCATTTGTAATCCAAAACAAATTTTATTCTTTTCAATTGTTTCATTTTAAATTTTTTATTTAAGAAATTTATAGCTTTTGAAAGTGCTTCAGGTGTTCTAATAATATTTATGTCATTCACATAAACAGCAATTATAGTCAACTCCTATCAAGATTTTTTTCATAAGAATACAAGGATAAATTGAATCATTTTTATATCATTCTTTCAACAGATATTCGCTAATTCGATTATACCATACATGCTTTGATTGTTTCAATTCATATAAGGCATTATTTAACTTGATCGAATAATTTTCTCAAGAATTTGAATTGTATGCTTTTAGCAATTTAAATCCTTTAAAAATTTTCATGTAAATGTCACTATCGAGTAAGCCATACAAATAGGTTGTAATAATATCCATTAGACACAAATCGAGTCCTTCAGTTATTGTCAAACTAATTAAATATTGAAAAGTAGTTGCATCCACTACTAGTGAGTATATTTCGACAAAATCAATTCCAGGCCTTTGTATAAATTCTTGAGCCACAAGCTATGCGTTATATCTTACAATTTCATCATTTTCATTTCTTTTTCACACAAAAACCCATTTATAACCAATCGCCTAGACACTTTCAAGTGTATGGACTACGAGTATGAAAACTTTTTGTTTTCTAAGTGACTTTAATTCTGCCTCAATTGCATCTTTCTATTTCGATCAATCCTCTCTTTATTTGCATTCCTTAATGCACTTTGGTTCATAATCCTTGTTATCATTTATTACATCAAGTGCTACATTATATGTGACAATATCATCAATGTTGACTTCATTCCAGTCCCATTATATTCAATTCATAACATAATTTGTTGAGATCTCATTATTTTTACACATTTCATGTACCTGAGTTTCTTCATGAGTTATTAACTTTTCTTGATTATCTTCGATTTGACCATATGTGTTTGTAGCTCATTTTCTTTTCTGAGGAATTTTATCTTCAAAGCCAATAGGCCTACCACACTTTATGCACGCTTTAGAATCATTTGCAAAAATAGACTATTTAACAGGGACATCAATTTTAATTGGAGCATTAGTAACTATAACATGTGACTTAGTTACTTTCTTTGAATCAATAAATGCATTTGTTAATTAATTTGCTAATTTTTTGTAAATGAATTATCTTTTGAACTCTTAGTTCACATTACTTTGTACAACAATCAAGATGAGATAATGATAATCAATTCCAATTAATTTCTTTTTTTAACTACTTATTTTCTCCCTTTAATATTAGAAAAATTGATTCATCAAGATAACAATCAACAAATTAAGCTGTAAATAAATTTCTTGTTAATGGTTCTATATATTTAATTACAGACGGAGATTCATATTCAACATGTATTTCCATCCTTTCTTTATGGACCCAACATAGTCTGTTGTGATTTTAATTGATGCAATGACAAAATGGTGGCATCTTTGCTTATTATCTTCTTGTAACTTAGTGTTTGCAAGATTGCTTGCTCAACTAGATTAAGAGCACACTTTTCTAATTATCCTATTGAGAAAATATGTCCAGATAATGTTTGTGAATTTACTTCACAGGCTTTTTAATGAATTTTGCAAGTCTCTTGGAATTGATGTTGAACATCTTGTAGCACACGTTCATATATAAAATGGGCTTATAGAATTATTGATTAAATGTTTATAATTGATCGCACGACCATTACTTGTATAGTCAAATCTTTCAATTTTTACTTGGGGACATACAACTTTACATGTAGCATCATAATTCATATTAAGCCAACAAATTATCTTAAGAACTCTCCTTTAGAGTTGGTTTTTGATCAAGAATCTAATATATGGTCAAATTGGTTTTTTTGTTTTTAGAATTTGTATCAAACTATAGCAATTGATAACATGTTATGAAATTAAGTAATTAAAAAATAAAGATACCAGGAGAAGAAGTAGAGACAAAAAATGAGAGAATTTTTTATAAATTATTTTACCTTTGAATACAAATAACATGCTCTATTTATAAACACAGTTTTACACATAGAATGTTACACAAATGATAAAAGACAAATAAAGAATAATCAACTCTCATAATGGTGAGAGTTTTATGGGAGAAGATGAAGATGAAGATGAAGATGAAGAGGTGAGGATGATGAACTTTTACTCTTATTTTAATATTAATAACAAAAACATGATTTACGTAAAATAAAATTGTTATTTTTTAAAAAGGATTTTATATAAGCACTCATTTTTTTTGAAAAAATTACAACTAAGTTTCACAAAAGAGATTTAACTATTAAGAGATCTCATGAAATTTTCAAGTTTCAAATTTTATGCATTTATAATTTGGTAAATGACATTTATAATTGGGCAATGCATATTTACAATTTGCTATTATAAATTATCATTTTTTATTTACAATTTGCTAGTACAAGTTATTATATTTTTTTGTAAGTTGTAAATGCTTGTTGGCTAGCCGTAAATATCATTTATGAAATTGTAAATGTATATGATTTAAGATTTAAAAGTATTTTATGTATTTTAAAAAACTTCTTGATAATTACATTTATTTTGTGGGACTTACATGTAACCTTTTTTTCCCCCCAACATATGCGTTGTAGTCAAAACAAAGCTTTTCCTTTGGAAACAATTTTTTTTTTAAAAAAAATTCTAGCAATTAATCATATCATGTAAAAAGAACAATCAATATCTGGACAGCCACTTTAAGCAGGGAGTCCCCCTATTATACTGTTACAAAAAGTAGGAAAAAAGCAAGTAAAACTAAAAGTAATAGATGTGGAATTTCGTGCAAGAGTTCTGATATCATACAGCACCATCTCATTGACTTGACACAGATTCCTCCACTCCATTAAACCATCTAAAAAGGTTGGGATTTTCTTATAAAAAATAATCTCCACCGGGAAAGTTTCCAGATTGTGAGTTTGAACATGAGCCTTGAGCCAGTGAAGAGCATTTCGGACCCAAAGAAGATATGATCTTTTGGGAATTTGGCTTGTTGCTTTGTAAGGTGAAGATGAAATCCCATTCTTTTATTTGCCACTTTTCCTTTTTCTGATCAAGATTTTCCGTTTTATCTCAGAAAAGATCGGATTGTGTTCGGAACTTCTACTGCGAGGCTCTGGATTTGACTGCAATCTCTTGTCGGACTTGAATACAGCGTCTGGTTAAAGATTTAAATCTTTAACCTCCTTGATTAATCTTTAACCTCCTTGATTATTTGCACAGGATTGAAATTTATCCCCTGATACATGACATGATTCCTTTTCATCCATATCATATGGAGCATAGGTGTTATGCTCCTTTGGAGACTGTTAATCTCATTCCAATTGATAAGAAAAAGTAATCCTAAAAAAAATTCCTAACAATAAGGTGAAGTAAATTTAGGTAAAATATACAAACCCTTCTAAACTTTAAAATTATTACATAAAACCTATTATCTTTAAAAATTAAAAATTAAATTTTATAATAATTTTTTTATCATAAACTCATGTACTGTTATTTCTTAATTATCTTATTAATAAAAATTGCCATTTGCCCATCTTATATTAAAAAAATACGTGGCAACTCACGTGTTATCTTATATAGATTAATAATAACTTTACAAAAATGTTATCAATATTTTTCTATAATTAATGGTGAATATTTTTCTTATTTTAAAGAATAAATTTTTATTTATATAATTTATCCTTAAATTATGTTTAAATTGTGTTGAAAAATTATTAAAATATTTTTTCATGTCATGTCATGTCATGTGTATCTTATTAATTTGATATGACAATCTCTATAATAAAATAACATAGTTGTTAACTAAGGTTTTGAAAAATAAAATAAAATTAAAAAGTTAAAAATATTAATTTTAAATGTTTAAAAATAATGAATCATATGTAACTACAATAAAATTTACAGGAATTTGTATTTCTTTACAAAAAAAATTTAAGGTGATATGAGATTCATAAAAAAATATAAAATTAATTTATTATCATAACTAGTGAAAAATTATAGTATTAAATAAATAATTATGATAATTTTGTTAAAAGATAATAATATTAAATATAATAAAGGATGATCGTTTTTATTTTTATTTGTCTTTTAATTATGAGTTCGGCTTTTCAAGTACACCCCCGCCAAAAGCCGATACCGTCATTTCAAAGCTGAACTAACACAACAAGATAAAAAAAATATTAATTATTAATTAATTACGCTCATACAAATAAATAAGCCAGCGCGCGGTCGCCCCAATCTTAAGCAAGCCTAATCCCAACGGTCGTTTCTAAGCGTCGACCTTTGTGCTGTGAGTTGCGTTGCTTCGCCGAGTGGGTCTAGTCCTATGGTTCCATCATATGGGTCTGGCTCTACCATGAACGTCATCGACTCATCGTCTTCTGCTCGGAGCTAGGTAGAGAGGTGTTGAAGGAGCACGACTTGCAATTGGCTGACCGGCACAAGAGCCAATTGGAAACCAAGTTAGCTAAGACGGCAAGGATCTCATCTGGGGCGATTATGGGCCTCACTACGTGTAGATGAGGAAGGTCTGCACACTCTAGCTTTTCTCTCCCAAGCGCCTTGAAGCCTTAAGACCCCTTCGAGAAGACGAGGCACCGCCATGGTTGAGTCCATCTTCAAGAGAAAGCACTAGAACCGATGTAAGTAAGATCCGCTACAAAAGTCGATCTGGTACCTTCCTCCGGGTACTCAACAACTATAGTCATCTCCCTTTCTCCTTTTAGCTCTAGTCCGTCGAGTAATTTATTTGAATGTTGTGAACCCAGCTGTGCTTCTAGCTTTCTTGACGACCTTTGAAAGATTCCTAGTTTCAGTCAAGCGCTGGTACTTCTGTTGAAATGCAATATAGCTTTGGTAGTATACTAATACTTCACAATGCTTGGTTGATTGACTAGATTCCAATTACGACCCTTCACCTGCATTTACAATAATTCATAAATTTGTTATGATAATGGGTTTTATGGACTTTTTACTAATCAGATCATCGGCATAAAAGGGACATCAGTATCAATGTATATAAAATAGTATCTCTGTTAAGTTGCTCGCAGGTTATGACTTGCAGGGTTAATCTCTTGGATTATACGCGATTCACAGAGAAAATGTCATATTTAGGGGAGAAAACGTGATATGAAATTGTTTATTTCTTTGTGGTGAATTCAAAGGGGATGGGGAATTTCTTACAAGTTAAATATGGGTATGAGGATGGTGACCTTAGTATCGAACCTATACCTTACTCAGAATTAAAACCTTCTTGAGGGGTGATTTATTGGTGGCGTTTACTGGAGTGTAAGCGTATAACCAAAGCCCTTAATTTTGTTGTACGATGATATGCTTTAATTTTATACTTGATATACATTGAATGTATTCAGTGATAATTGCATTTTTCAGTGTCCATTTGTTTGTTAAAGAATTCTAAAATTCAATTTCCTATTTATTAATTACTTTAGCTAGTAATTACTATGTGGGGTTATAGAGGATTCATCTTTTATCAAATTTGTTATACAACTGTTGATGGTTTCAAGAATTTTATGCTTCCAGGTTGTAATTGGGCTCGAATTTGTCCCTTCATATGCAAAAGTTTCTTTATTTCAACAACCAATTGAGGAATATAGTGGTAAGGAGCTAGAATATGCTGACAGTACTTGTGGTATTGTTAACTTTTCATGAAAGTTGAATTTTTTTTTTTTGTAACTTTTTTAGTTATTAATCCTCTTGTGATTGCATGAACGGAAATCCTTAATTGAGATGCTAGTGTGAAGCACTAATGCACTATCTCATTTTAAATAACTAGTATGCTAGGTAGAATTAGTATTATGCTTATTCCTGAAAATGTACATTGATAAGATATTAGTGTGAAACATGTGATGTTAGGCATTCAAATTCCTTGTTTAGTGGCTGTGATGAGCGCTGCGTGCTTTTGCAGAAACGATGCTGTTATGAATTTTAGCAAATGGCAGAACATATTAAAAAATGGGAGAAGATTTGGGTAAGTTTGGCTTGACCCCATTATCATTTTGTGTCACTATATTGACTTAAAGACCCCCTTCTGTTCTTTTTCCCTCTTTTTTATTTTTATTTCCCCCCTCTCCTGATAGTGCAAAGAGAAAAATGAGGGTCAGGGACTTTTTTCCCCCACTTCTGTTAATAAAAAGGTGAAAAATATGAGTTGGCTTGTAATTACTGTAAAAGCCAAGATTAGCCATTTTCCACCTTTAAGTGTGTGGCCTAATTGACATAGTTTTACTGCTTGTGACATGGCCGATTGGTTTGAGGGGATTGTAGCAAAGAGGAAATGCATTTTTGAGAGAAGAGTTACTGTCGGTGAGGCTGTTGTGTATTGTTGGCCGCTGATGTTGTATGTTTTCCTTGTTTGACAGGGACATGATTGCGTTGAAGCTCAACAATATTGTGCCTCATTTCTCAGTGAGTTGGTTGTCCTTGTGGGCCGTAAGAATTTGCTTTAATTCTTACAGGACAAAGTGTAGATCCCCCCTCTCTTTGTGTTAATGTACAATTTGATTTTTCTACGTTACTTCACCCGTGTCTGTCATCCTGAAAGTGGGAAGAAGTGTACACTCCAACAAGCGAAATAGAAATAGGTAGAAAGGAAGAATCGAGTATATGCTGTTTATGTTCAACTCAAATCAATTGTTAAATAAAATTATCCTTTCTGCCACTTAAAATTTTCTTTTTGGTCTAACATGGTGCATTTGCTTATTTTTGATATTGCTAAAGTTGGGGTATCACAGTACTTTGCCGAAACTTCTTTCTTAAGAGCTTTAAAATGTATTTGGAAGATTAACTATGATGTTTGCCTACTATGGGCATCAAGGCCGGTGATTTGCAGGATTAGCATCATCAATTGATATTATTGGTCAGTTTTGAGGTTCTTTTTTCATGGCAGATGCATAATTCTTTCAACTTCTGGCAATGACATCTTTTGGCTTTTTGCATATAGTTTATGATGCATCAATAGGATCCTCCAGCTAATGCAAGAAATTGAAGAATGGTACTTCTATTGATGATAACTTTCCATTTGAATTGATTTCCGTTTTGATTCTTAATCCAATGATACTTCCATTTAAATTGTTTTTAGTTGTAGTTTTAAAAACTATCAAATCCAAATCATCAAATTCAATCCATCGGTTCACAATTATAGTGGCCTCCCGACCCACTAGGTAGAGAGAAGCCACCTCCCCCGAACCACAAGTATTAATTGGCTTTGGCTTCTCTTTTGATCTTTTGATTTTATTATCTCTTATGCTTTCGTAAGGAATAGAACCATTTGATCATGAGATATCCTGAACATTTTGGTAGTCTAGAGACGGCAAGGATCTCATTTGGGCTATTGATCATGGTTGAGTCCATCTTCAACGATTCCATAAATCCTGGTACGCTATTTGTCCTTGTTACTTCTTGTAGGTCTATATAATTTTGATAATCCAGAGATGATTTGATTGTTCCACCGTGTTGTGTTTTGTGCTTTGCTCTCTTTGAAATAGAGGAGAAGCAGGGGTGGGTAGTTTACTAATACTTCACAATGCTTGGTTGCTTGATTAGATTCCAATTATGACCCTTCATCTACCTTCATGGCCTTGTGAAAAAAGTGAGATTGATTAATAGTCTTAAACTTATTGAGCTACCTTATTTTTTCTTGGCTTCATGTCTTCAGATTTTTTAAAGTTGGCATAAATGACAAATGACAATATTTTTTGAAAAAACATAAACTTGCATCTTCAATGCAATCATGCTAGACTTATTGATGTTTGTATCATTTGATGTCTAATGTGGATGTGCATAAATACAATTATAGGGGTATACTTTTTCTCTTCAGCTTAGACTTTTCATGTCTTTATTGCTTGTAGCCCTTGTACATATACATATTTGGCAAAATTTCTCTTGTATGTGCACTTGAAAGGCTTGATGCCCACTACATGATGTGTTACTTATTTTGACAGCTCCTATACAAATGTGGGAATGTTTTGACTATTTTGGATCCTTAGACTTGGATATCAAATGTGGGAATATTTAGACTATTTTGGATTTGTAAATTTGATTATAAATGTGAGAATGTTCTGACTGTTTTATATCCTTTAACTTGGATCACAAATTTGAGAATATTTGGACCATTTTGGATCCTTTAAATTTGATTATAAATGTAAGAATGTTCTTACTATTTTTGATCATTTAATTTAGATTTTGATGGCTCTTATATTGAGAATGTTTTGACCATTTTGGATGCTTTAACTTAGATTACAAATAGGGGAATGTTCTGATTGTTTTGGGTTCTTTAATTTTGATGGATCCTATACAAATTTGAGAATGTTTTAACCGTTTTGGATGCTTTTATAATTGTGGGAATATTCTAATCATTTTGGATCCCTTAATTTTGGATACAAATGTAGGAATGTTTTGGCCATTTTAGATCCTTTAACTTGAAATACAAATGTTAGAAAATTATGGCTTATGTAAATGTTGGAAAATTGTAATTGTTTTGGATCCTTGAAATTGGAATGCAAATGTTGGGAAATTATGACTCATGCTAACGTGGGAAAATTGGCATTTTTGGATCTTTGAACTTGGAATGCAAATGTGGGAAAATTGTGACCATTTTATTTTGCATTATTATACTTGGAATAGAAAGCTTCGTTGTGATCTTTTACAATTGCATATTTGGCTTTCTAAATAGCCCTTGCATTGTTCGATGCTTGTTTTAAATGTCCTTGTAGGAAAAGTGTGAATGATTAATAGGCTTAAACTTCACTTGCTGAGCTGCCTTATTTTTCCTTACCTTCATGTCTTTGAGATTTTTTTAAAGTAGCATACTTGGCGTATATGAGAAATGTTAATTTTTTTTTTGAAAAATATATGTCCTTGCTATTTTATTTGAACTTGCATCTTCAATGCACTCCTACTAGGCTCATTGATGTTTATCATTTGATGCCTAATTTGAATGTGCATAAATATAATTAAAGGGTTTAGTTTTGCTCTTTAGCTTAGCCTTTCTGTGCCTTTGCTGCTTAAAGCCCTTGTACATTTACATTTTTGGCAAATTTCTCTTGTATGCACACTTGCAAGGCTTGATGCCCATTGGATGATGGGTTGTTTGTTTTGACAGCTCCTATATAAATGTGAAAATGTTCTGATTGTTTTGGATCCTTTAATTTGGATATCAAATGTGAGAATATTTGGACCATTTTGGATCCTTTAAATTTGATTACAAATGTGGGAATATTTTTACTGTTTTGGATCCTTTATCTTGGATAAGAAATATGGTATATAAATATGGGAATGTCTTGATTGTTTTGGATCCTTCAGTTTGGATATCAAATATGGGAATATTCGGACTGTCTTGGATCCTTTAAATTCGATTACAAATGTGGGAATATTTTGACCATTTTGGATCCTTTATCTTGGATAAGATATGTGGTATACAAATGTGGAAATATTCATATCATTTTGGATCTTGGATATCAAATATGGGAATATTTAGACCGTTTTAGATCCTTTAAATTCAATTACAAATGTGGGAATGTTCTGACCATTTTGAATCCTTTATCTTGGATAAGAAATGTGGTATACAAATGTGGGAATGTTCTCATTGTTTCGAATCCTTTAACTTGGACCACAAATTTGGGAATGTTCGGACCTTGTTGGATCCTTTAAATTCAATTACAACTGTTAAAATGTTTTGATTGTTTTGGATCTTTGCTGACTCTTATTTGAAATATTTTGACCATTTTGAATCCTTTAACTTGGATTACAAATGTGAAAATGTCTGATCGTTTTGGATCTTTTAACTTAAATTTGGAAACAAATGTAAGAATATTTTGATTGTTTTGGATTCTTTTGCATGGATTACAAATGTAGAAATTTTCTATCCATTTTGGATCCTTTAATTTCTATTAAAAATGTGAGAATGTTCTGATCATTTTTGGATCCTTTTACTTTAAATATCAAAATTGGAAAATTGTGGCATATACAAATGTTGGAAAATTATAACTATTTTGGATCTTTGAATTCAAATGCAAATGTTGGAAAATTATGACTTATGCAAATGTGGAAAAATTGACCATTTTAAATCTTTGAAATTTGAATGTAAATGTGGGAAAATTATTTTGTGACTTACACCAATGTAGGAAAAATGTGACTGTTTTGGATTCTTGTACTTGAAATAGAAAGCTACATTTTGATTCATTACAATCATATATTTGGCTTTCTAAATAGCCTTCCATTGTCTTAGACTTCTTTTGAACGTTCTTTAGGAAAAGTGAGATTGATTAATAGGCTTAAACTTGACTTGGTGAGCTGTATTATTTTTCCTTCCCTTCATGTCTTGAGAATTTTTGAGGCAGCATATGTTGCGTACATGAGAAATGACTTTTTTTTTTTTTGAAAATATATGTCCTTCCTATTTTATTTGAACTTGCATCATCAATGCACTCCTATTAAGTGCAATGATATTTGTATCATTCGATGCCTAATCCATATATGCATAATATAATGGAAGGGGTCTACTTTTGCTCTTCAATTTAGACTTTTTTTGTCTTTGTTGCTTGGAACCCTTGTACATATTCATGTTTGACATTTTTCTCTCGTATGCACACTGCAAGGCTTGATGCCTATTGCATGATGTGTTGCTTAATTTGACAGCTCCTATACAAATGTAAGATTATTCTGATCATTTTGAATACTTTAACTTACATCTCTAATGTGAGAATATTTGGACCATTTCGAAGCCTTTAAATTTGATTAGAAATGTGAGCATGTTTTGATTATTTTGGATCCTTTATCTTGGATAAAAAATGTGGTATACAAATGTGAGAATGTTTTAATCATTTTGGATCCTTTTACTTGGATCATAAATTTAGGAATAGTTAAACCATTTTAGATCCTTTAAGTTTGATTACAATTGTAGGAATGTTCTGACCATTTTGGATTCTTTAACTTAGATTTTTTGTAGCTCTATATATAGAATGTTTTGACCGTTTTGGATGTTTTAACTTGGATAACCAATGTGAGAATGTTCTGACTATTTTTTATGCTTTAACTTGGATTATAATTGTGGAAATGTTTTGACTATTTTGGATCCTTTTCCTTGAAATACAAACATTAGAAAATTGTGTTCTATGCAAATGTTGGAAAATTGTAACTGTTTTATATCCTTGAAATTAGAATGCAAATGTTGAAAAATTATGACTTATGCAAATGTGAGAACATTGACCATGCTGTATCTTTAAACTTGGAATGCAAATGAGGGAAAATTGTGACCGTTTTGGATTCTTGTATTTGGAATAGAAAGTTGTCTTTTGATTTTTTACAATCATATATTTGGCTTTCTAAATAGCCTTTCATTGTTCAATACTTGTTTGGAATGTCCTTTAGGAAAAGTGAAATTGATTTATAGGCTTGAAATTGACTTTGTGAACTCTCTTATTTTTCCTTACCTTCATGTCTTGAGAATTTTTGAAGTAGCATATGCAGCATATATGAGCAATGACTATGTTTTTTTTTCGAGAAAAAAATATGTCCTTCCTATTTTATTTGAACTTGCATATTCAATGTACTTCTACTAGGCTCGATGATGTCTATATGATTTGATGCCTAATCTAGATGTGTATAGAAACAATTAAAGGGTCAACTTTCCTTGTCTTTGTTGTTTGGAGCCTCTATACTTGTACTACATGTTTGGCAAATTTCTCTTGTATGTGCTACAAAGCTTGATGCCCACCACATGATGCGTTGCTTATTTTGACAACTTCTATACAAGTGTGAAAATGTTTTGATCGTTTTAAACACTTTAACTTGGATCACATAGCATGCCACAACATCATTATCATCGTGCTCATATTTATCAACACCTTCCAAAATCAGAAGTTGAAACTCATTTTCATATATCACAATTGATTGAATGTACAAAACCCCGTTTGCATATTTTAAAAACTAAAACAATATGCATACATTTATGCGTATAAAAGTATATTTTCAAAATTCACAAACACTTATAATTAATTAATAAGCAATAACACATAATAGATTTTCTTTGGTTACATCAAATTTTTGAGAATTTAAAGGTTATTCCTAATGATCACTTGCTTTCGAGCTCAACTCAGTTTTACTTCACAAGGTTAGTCTACAGTAATAACTAATACCCATTACTAATAATAATTAAAATCCATATTTCCAACTTCTAATTTCACACCTTAACAACCAAATTTCCTAACCACAACTTCAATCTTATATTTAATGAGTTTATTAATTCTTATTAATTGCATTTAACTCTCATTAACTCAAATAATAAATAATATAACAACCAACAATTCAAAATCATTCTTTAGAGGTTTAGGGTTCATCCAAAATAGATAACCCAAATTTACAATCTTGTAAAAACTCTTAAATTAGGTGTAGAATGCTTAAATAACTCTCATTAGTTTTATTAGAA